TAAAGATCACCGTTTTCCCCTGAGGCGGCATCAGCTTCCTCCTCCTCATGAGTGATGAAGATCTCTTTAATTGCAATCAGCTCCTTCTTCAGAACTTCCAAATCTTCCTCCTCCAAAGAGGACAAGTATTCCTGCACCTGAAATGAAGAGAGAAACACGAAGAAAAGAGGAAAGGAGAAGGACTTTCATTTCTAACTTATTAGATATGCTGCATTTATTTGATCAAAAATACAGTAATATTGTAAAATATTATTACACTTTAAACTTTATTATTACACTTTGTTTACTATTTTAATGTATTTTAAAAATGTAATTTATTCCTGTGATGGCAAAGTTGGATTTTCAGCATCATTACTCCAGTTTTCAGTGTCACATGATCCTTCAGAAATCATTCTAATATGCTGACTTGCTGCTAAAGAAACATTTCTTATTACTACCATCAATGTGCAAAACATTGACAGAGTCTTTGCAGTCACTTATGATAAATTGAATGCATCTTTTCTGAAAAAAAAAAAAAAATCTTTCAAAAAATACCTGACCAAACTAAGGGTTGTGTATGCTAGTTTCATGTCAATAGTATCACACATTGGTCTCTTACTTCACAAGTAATAAGATCATTATTAATATTTCATGTCCATTTATTTATGTATTTGATAAGTAGCTGTGTAATAGTGGGATAACTGTACAGTCAATCATTAGTGCAAAATAAAGCTCTCATGGGTTTATTTTGCAACAGGCAAAAAAAACTTTTAAAAAAATGAATTTTGAAAAATTATTTTGTTGTTAGACAAAGCATTAAAATAATGTAGGACATAGTCTTGGACGGAAATGTATTTCTGTTGACATTAGTATTTCAGCTTGTTTTTACATTGGTAAAATGTATTATAGGTGTGTGTTAATGGTGTGTGTTACTAACCCTCCCTTCACTCTCATTGGAAAGTATCTCCAGTGCCTCAAGATGAGACAAGCCTTGGTAATCATCAAACAAGATCCCATAGTGGGCGGTTGGTTCTGTGACCATCTGACTGCTCAGTCTCTCTCTCTCCTTCTCCTTTGCTTCTTTTAACATCTGCAGACAAACACAACATAAGCACATACAGCAGCCTGAAACTGAAAACATGGCAGGATTTTCCAACAAAACCACTGTATCTTCTAAGGTAAGACGGTTGTAGGCACTCCGCTGGGTAACAACACCCAATAATCATTGTGAGAAATGTTATTTGAGCATTTGTTGACCATCTAACCTGAGACAGAGAGACAGTTCTCTTCATCAGTATTTTGGTCTTTTTAAAACCTGGGTCACTCTCTGCCAAGACATTCATGGTCTTCTTTCCAATGAACTCCAAAGCATCAAGACCTCCTGTTATTACTGACTTTCCCTGAAAACGCAAGAGGGAGAAAACATTTGTATGAACATGACAATTTTTCTGTGATCCACTCACAAGTGGTCAGCCGAGACTCATTACTATCTCGAAAGCATCTCCAGATTTGAAGTATTGGGTCTGATTTTGCTATATTTCAGTGATATGGTAAATCATGTGAGCAGACTCACGGTGTTCTGAACAGCGCTGCTGATGGTTGACAGTACTCCTCTCTGCACCTCCTCTGAATGAACGTGTTCTGCCGTCTCTGTCCCAGAATGCTCATGGGCCTCTTCTGCCTCCTCACATGATGAGCTCTGACGAATTCGTAATGCCACACCTGCTTTCTCTTTTACGGAGCTTAACCCTTGACCTAGGGACGATCAAAGGATGGAAAAACATTCAACTTTAGGGCTACATTTACCCTGCAAGGCCTAATGCACAGAACAGATACTGACTGAATCGGATTTATTGTCCAGATCGTTTACAACTGTGATAATAATATCTACTAAGACACACTGAGCTGACAATAGCACTTTCTGCATTTAGAAGTTAGCCCTTTAGTATTATGCCTCACATGTGTTTTTATATGTATGCCATCTAATATGATATTATTTTGCAAGTTCTGGCTCTGTATGCTGTTAATTTAAATAATACAACTTATGTGCTCTCAATCACCACAGAAACTTTTCTCAGTTTATAAAAAAAATTGAATGTATGTATACAGTAATGCACTTTAAATCACTTTACCTTGGTCCCACCGACTGCATGAATAACAAAACAGATCATTTGAGATCATTGCAAAATTAAAAAAAAAAGACTGTTCAAAAGTTTGGGGTCAGTAAAATTTTTTTTTTTTTTTAAGAATATAATACTTTTTATTCTGCAAAGATACATTAAATTGATCAAAAGTAACAGCTAATTTATAATGTTATAAAAGAGTTTTTTTTTTTTTCAAATAAATGCAGAACTTTCTATACATAAAGTATTCTTTTTAAAAAAAGTATCACGGTTTCCACAAATATATTAAGCAGCACAGCTATTTTCAATATTCATAATAATAATGAGCATCAAATCAGTATTAGAATGATTTCTGACGGATCATGTGACACTGAAGACTGGAGTAATGATGCTGAAAATTCAGCTTTGCTGTCACAGGAATAAGTTACTTTTTAAAACGTATTAAAATAGAAAACCATTATTTTAAATTCTAATAAAATTTTCACAATATTTTATTTTTAATCAAATACAACCTTTTAAAATGATAAAAAATGTGTATCAACCCTAAACTTTTGAACAGTATAGTATTATTCATAATAATAATGAGCATCAAATCAGTATTAGAATGATTTCTGACGGATCATGTGACACTGAAGACTGGAGTAATGATGCTGAAAATTCAGCTTTGCTGTCACAGGAATAAGTTACTTTTTAAAACGTATTAAAATAGAAAACCATTATTTTAAATTCTAATAAAATTTTCACAATATTTTATTTTTAATCAAATACGACCTTTTAAAATGATAAAAAAATTTGTATCAACCCTAAACTTTTGAACAGTATAGTATTTTTTTATTGAATTTAGAAATACTTTTTAGTTGCCACAAATTGGACAGCAAAAAATTAAATATCATATGTATTTTTGCTGTTTACATGCATGCAACAAAATCTGATCTGTGCTAGATCAACAACCCAAATGCTAAAATGTGACAAAAACACAGATTGATACTCTCTGTGACGATGTTATCTTACAGTTACCTGTGGAAGGATCTACTGTATGGTTTACTATGGCAGCCTCACTGTAGTGGCAGGTTGCTATGGTGACTTACCCACAGTGGATGTAGCAGTGGTCAGAAGTGACTTCCCCCAGGAGCCCCAACTACTCCAGCCTTTAGGTTTAGACTCATCCGGGCACTGATAACATGCATCCACACAGCCGAAAAATACACACAAAAGATGGATTTATGGATTTTGTAACATGACGCAAACACAGATCAATCAATCCTATTAAATGTACCTCTGTTCCCTGCACTTCTTCCTGTGTAACCTCTGGATCCAAGCTCACTGAATCCACACATTCAGTCACCTGACCCTCAGGTTTTTCTTCTGATGGATGTACCTGCTTCACTTCAACACCTTTAGTTGTACTGTGCTCTTCTGCAGCCACATTGGTTGAGTCAGGGGCCGATGTGTCTAGTGAGAGTTGTGATATCGGCGGGACCTCATCTGTATTTGCTGCAGTCTCATCAGAGGCAGTCGTCTGGAGGAAAGCGGGAGATTTTGTAGCGAGGTCTTCCAAGGTCTCATCTTGCGACATGGTGCTCTGATAAAAAATAGATAAACAAACAAATTGTAGCAGCTGGCCATGACAGGCTGTGACTGACAACAAACTAACTGGTGACTAAACACTGAGACAGCTGAGCTCTGACTAAGGTTTGCAAATTACAACTGGAAATTGATCAACGACATTAGCAAAAACACATCACAAGCAAGAAAAAAGATGTTGCTCTTGTGAAATATCAAGTCACATTCTAAAATATGTTGCACTGAGACTCGTTTCTCATAAATGCAGATATAAATTGGCTTGTCGATGTGCATACAGAACATACTGGGTGTTATTTAGGAGACTAATGCTAATGGGTTGCTAATATAATGTCTATAATAATTTGGAATCCATCCTAATAGGATCGAGAACAATTTGCTAAGATCTTCCCTTATAACTGAAATTCATATCTATTAGGATCTTATTTAATGAATTAGTTTTTTTTTTTCCAAATTATGCCGTTAATTCCATTAGGATTTCTTTTGGGACTAGGGAATTCTTAAGGCATTTCAATGAGAGAGACCTGCAGTCAGGTTGGTCAAATAAAGCAAAATGCAACACAATGACACTACAGCTTCAAACATAATGTGAATACAACACATACATGTGCATGTAAAGCTAATAATTCAGCTAAATCATATTTTGTATTTAATCTCATCGTGTCAACAGGTTTGTTGTCAGGTTAAGGTTAGATTTGGGTTTAGCAACTGTCATCGTCTCTGTATAAACCCCACTGCACTTGTGAGATATATTAATAGATACCTTGAATATAATATTAATACAGTGACACCAACTGTATGTGTACGTGTGTGAACAACAGAAAAGCACTGACACATGGAGAAGCAGAGCTGTCCCTGAATGGTGCGGCACTGTCAAGCGCCTTTGTTTGATGCGGATTGCAGCGCCATCTAGCGGTGGTTTTATACACGTACAAGCCACTTTCAAATTCAGTTTGCATTTCATATATATATATATATATATATATATATATATATATATTAATATCTCCATTATCCTATCTGATTAGTTCATTTCTGTAATGTGTAGGTTTATACATTAGACCAAGAAACAAATTCTTCATCCTTTTTCTCAGTAATTCTTTCTTTGACTCATCTCAATCGTTTCATTAAGGACTTTTACCTTTCTTATGTAAGCTCCCCCTTGTTCTTTTCCTCCTTCAAAACAGTTGAGAAGAGAAAAACAGGAACCGGTCTATTACAAACTGTTAAACTACCATAAGAAAGAGAAAAAACTGAGATACTGTATAGCCCAAAGCTCAAAGCTATTCATGAACCCCCATTTACACATATTTGCCATTTTAAATCTATTTTTTAAAGTGCACTGTTTCCGTTTACACATTGCCCTTAACAAACATCTGTTCACGTAAAAATGATTTGCAAAACAGAAAAACAAGAGTACACTCGTCCCTGCATATATCCATGACTATCTCACGCGTTTAACAAATTTCTCACAAACAAAGTGTTAGCAGTAAGACAATGTTACCCATAACCTAGATGAACACACTCTAATAAAATAATGCCCCTTATTGAATGGTTCACATTTATCACATTTCTCCACCTAAACATCCCTCAGTGAAATAATAGTTTACCCTTTTGAGCCTCGGACACTGGATTTGATAAAAGACACAACAAAATATTTAGGATTATACGAATATTCATGATTACAGAAATTATTCAAATATGAATAATGGTGAGATTAAGCAAAATAAAGCTTGCTATAAGTCCTTGCAACTAACATGTATGTGTTGGACGACCAAGCGTTCAATTTTCAGACCTGCCTATTAGCATTTAAGACATCATTTTGAACTCTCACACTTACGTTCTACTTGTGTTTTTAACATGTATGTAGGGTCAAAATCATGACTATATTTTCATTACTAAATCATAAATTGTGCATGTGCATAGTTGCAAGAACTTACACAGTACATAGTACTTACGGTAATAAACTACAGTATTAATTCATGATTACAATTAATAAAACACGCCACTGTTTCACTAAGTAAATAATAGGTCAGGTGCTCGGAAGCTACTTTTGGAACCAAAAACTTTTTGTCAAAACTTAACTCTTTAGAGTCAAACTATAAAGACCCATTCACACCAAGGACGATAACTATAACAATATAGTTTCAAAAATAGTTCTAAATGTAAAAGAATAGCAGAGTCCACAACTATAATTTGTGGACAACTATAATGATTTCTTCCAACCATAAAAACATTGACAGCCAAACAGAATCCATTCTGCTTTAAAGCGCTTGAGCATTTAAAGTGGCAGATGACAAAACTGCAGCGCGTGCTTATAATAAACAGAATATTATCGTGGGTTGGTGTAGTTATCATTCTTGGTGTGAACGGGCCTTAACGACTGACCGACCCAATCAAACGATCTCAGGAAACATATGAAGGTGTAAAACAATCAGCCTTGGTCCTTACACTGAAACATGAAACACACATGCTGAATACATATACAGGACCTGCGTATACACATTCGTTTTTTTGAATAATATAAAAAAGAGAAAAAAATCACATTGTGCAGGTTTGACCCGAGTTGCATCTTAAAACAACATTTAAAGTGTGAAACTGGCCGAGGTGTGTGTGTGTGTTTGTATATGTGTGTGACTAGCTACTGATATACTGTAAATGTATTTTGCTTGTTTGTGTAGTGCTGTAACTGGAACAATGGGCCCTCTGACCAGCAGAGGGGTAAAACAGAATGGTAGAGAGACGTGAATAGAGAGACAAAGGAGAGAGAGAGTGCTTGGTATCAAGAAAAGACTTAAAGGTGCCTATTGTTTTGAATTTGAATGGCATTCAATTTTGCCTATATAAGGGTCATATCCACAGCACTATCAACGTTTGTCCGAATCCATAGTAAAGGTGACAAAATCCATTTGGACAATAATTCTTTTCATGAAGTACGAGCTAGCCATCATATTATCCATCAACTCCACTCGTTCTTCTTACATGCATCGTTTCCTGAACAGAAAATGGACGGGAAACACAAAACGGCCCTTAACATCACTGAAGATGAAGCTCCTGTTGAGCAACGGCTTAATCGAAGGTGCAATTTCTGCTCCGTTCACATGTTGCAGTATTGAGTTCACATCAGTAGGTGGCGCTTCTTGTGCAGGGCGAGGTGATCGGAGCGGGAGAAGGTGCGATCACAGTCAGGGCACTGGAATGGCTTTACACCCGTGTGCTTCCGAAAGTGACGGGTCAGCTCATCAGAGCGGGCGAACTTCCACGTACAGCCTTCCCACATGCACTTGTAAGGCTTCTCTCCTAAACGGTCACACAAAGAGTAGGGAAGGAACATTTAGACGAGTCTTTATTTATCCGAATGAATAGTATCTGAGTAAGAGTAAATGAGCATCTGTATACGGGCCAATAAAAATCTCTAAGATGATTAAAAAGTATTTGATGATAAAAAAAACAATAATAAAAGTGATTAATAAAAAGTTTTTTAAAAAAGCATCTAGAAATCTTTTGTAACATTATAAATGTCTTTACTGTCATTTTTGATGAATTTAATGTGTCCTTGCTGAACAAAAGCATTCATTTCTTTCTTAAATAAATACATAAATCTCCCCCAAACTTTTGAATAGTAGCATATCATGGTTTTAAACTGAAAATAAAAAACCTTTCTTGAGCAGAAAATCAGCATATTAGAATGATTTCTGAAGGATCATGTGACACTGAAAACTGGCGTAATTCAGCTTTGACTCACAGGAATAAATTACATTTTAAAATAGATTCAAATACAAAAACTTATTTTAAATTATAATAATAATTTTCAATATTACTGTTTTTCTTTATTTTAGATCAAATAAATGCAGCTTTGGTGAGCAATAATAATTTATAAAAAAAATGTTTTCTCAACAAAAAGATCAAGTCCCATATCACACAGAACAAGTGTATTTATGCAGTTTTTGTGTGAATTGCATTTGTATTGTATTTTTGAACTTACATCCAGAATACATCCAGGCAAAAAAAATGAGCGTCACATAGTTTATTTTGCATGTATGAACAAAAGTCTTTGCATATATAGCCTATGTACCTGTATGTGTGCGTCTGTGAGCTTTCAGGTGGGAGCTTTTGGTATAGACTTTATTGCAGCCATTGAAGTCACAGCAATGAATTCGACGCTTCTTCAGTGGATCTGGAGACTCTACCTTTCGACGTACAATCACAGAGTGTGTGTTTCCCCTGTTAAAGACAAAAAGAAAGATAAATGTATTCATGGTCTCCACAACCACTTTGTTTGAAGTGCACCTCTTGCTTTAACCACCAGGGGTCAGATTCATAATAGGGGCACTTTAATTACAGTACACTGATGTCAAATGTTGCATTTATGATATTTATTAGTAGTACTTGCTTGCTGAAGCAAGAATCCTTATTACTGCTCACACGTAGGCCTTAACCACAAGGAACTAAAGTGGGTAACTCGTTCCGCACCGTTGAATAATACATCCAATTGTGCAGCTTTTTGAGGAAAGGCTGTTACTTTTCTAAGTGACTGGACTCACGATTTCCAACTTGCAGACAGTAAACCAGTTGAAAAAAACTCTTATACATTTACTTAGAGGAACACCTCTTACTGTAAGTTCCTGCCTAAATACACCCTGTAATTAAATACATCCTTCTCTCTCTCTCTCTTTCTCTCATCTCTCCATTAAACCTCTCTATACACTTTACCCTCCCTGTCTGTTTCAGCTACATATTTTCAATCTTCGATTACAATGTCACTTATTCACCCACTTTCTGACATTTGTTCCTAAAAGCAGCTGTTTTCTGGCACCGCACCCAATATAAAATTATCATTCTACCTTCCTCCTCCCTTCCTCTCTCAATCAAGCGCTTTCTCCTCCCTTCCTCATCGCTTCTTTCTCTGTATTTCACCACTTTTTTTCTTTTCTGTCACACAGTATGTCCATAACTGATGACACCAGACCCACTGGCAGACATCACACACACACACACACTGTGAAAGTGCACTAAACCACATACAAATAAGAATCCAAAAATGTCTACACAAACTCTCAAGCATGCACTTATATGTGCTCAAGCATGACCCCATGAGGGTTTGAAGAATACGTGGAGACACACTGTCTCTGAAATGCATGCTGGGGGATTTTATCAGACCCACAGCAAGAAACATCAGATACAGAAATATATGCATTACACCACACATACATACACACATGGCTGAAAGAGAACTGTAGGCCAAATGTACTATAAATGAGATCCATAATAGACAGACAGACATATATATATATATATATAGAGAGAGAGAGAGAGAGAGAGAGTTGGACAGATACTATGTGTACAGTATGTGTAGCATTTGTTTCTGTGTCTAATTACAGGTTTCTGTATAGAATCCAGTAGGCTGTTTTTACAAGCAGATGTACAGTGTTGACTGGGGATGAACCGCTGTAAATGTGTAAAAACATGCAACAAAACCCCTTAAAGGTCCCCTGAAATGCTTAGAAACACGCAGCGTTACTCTATGTGTTGGCGTCATTTTAACTGAAACAGGAAGACAGGTGAGAAGCTGAAGTACGATGTGACGTCAAAAAATTGTTGAGCCGTTTTGGCCGAAGTGATGAACTGCAAGTTTGAATGCTTATATCTTCTAAATGCGAATTTTGTCACTGTTTTGGAGCACACTGCCTTATAGATAACCTTAAGACTAACATATTGATACTAACACCCAAAAAACTTTAACTTTGATTTCATGGGGACTTTAAAGTGTCAAGCTGTGACCTGTCTCATAAAGAAATTCACAATCGCATACACATACGCAAACTCATTTCATTTAACCACAACATAAACATTTTTAATATATATATATATATATATAGTATACATACAAAGTTGTTCTGTCATGAAACTCTAGATGGCGCAGGCCAATAGGTTCTCAATCTGACATAATCACATCATTATTCACATGGCACAGCCGATTGGTTTCTTTTCGCATCAGCAGCCAATGAGCTTGCTGCTCAACATTCACATACTTGGCTAGTGCTTGCTGTAGCAGTGTAGCAGAAACCCTCCACCTTCCCCAGCTCCACCTGTATAGATCTGCTGCACGGTTATTTCATATATATTATATATGCAGCAGCAGTATTTCTCACATGCTCACAGCAGCATATCTGTGGATGTCTTGACAGTAGCAAGTCTCAGTATTTGCTCTGAAACAGCAGCAGCAGCGTAGCAGATCTATTCCACCAAGACCAAACTCAATAACATTGCCATGTATATTACCATGCTGAAGAGTTGTCATGACAGAAATTACAGTATTGACAGTATTATCCGTGATCATACAAAATAAATGGTGATATAACGAAAAAAACTGAGCGTATGTGTGTGTTTGAGGACTCGGTACTCACTCATAACTTGGTGGGACAGTAATGATGGGTGAGGTTAGTTCCTGGCTGTAGGAATCCTGAGCGTGTTCAAGGTAGGGCTCAGATTTGATTGGCTTGAGGAGCTCATGGTTGTCTGGATGATTCTCTGACTTCATTATAGGGACTGAAGACAAGAAACAAGAAACAAATCAATCAGCCAAACAAAAATATGTAAGGATATATTATTACAACTGTCACCCACTAAAACTCATGAGAAGAGAGTGAGAGCATGTGTTTGGAAATGTGTTGTTTGCTTCAAAAGTGAATATGCTTGTGTGTGATAGAGCATGTCATTCCACTTACACTGTGTGTGGTTAGTAGGATCATCAGGTGTGACGGGTGATATCATGATGGAGGGAGACAGGTGTAGGGCAGGAGGGTAGAGCACAGATAACGGCTGCAGCATAGAAAGTACTGGTACAATAGATGTCAAAACCTGCATCACATGTAGACCAGAAAAACAAACACAGATGGATTATGACACGAGAAATGTCTGTTGGTCTCTAAGTTTTAGATAAGACGTCACAGGGGTTCTTTCTATGACATACACTTTTGTTCAGAAGTTCAGGCTCAAGATTCAAGATTTTTATTTTTTGGATGCAAGTATGCATTAAATTTATCAAACGTAAAAAAGTAAAGATTTTTACATACATTTTCTATTTCAAATAAATACTATTTTGAACTTTCTATTTACCAAATAATCCTAGAAAAATGTATCACGAGTTTCCACAAAAATATGAAGCAGCATAACTGTTTTCAAATTTGATAATAATAATGAGAAAAGTTTCACGAGCAGCAAATCAGCATGTTAGAATGATTTTTAAAGGATCATGTGACACTGAAGACTGAAAATTCTGGATGCCATCACAGGAATAAATTACATTTAAAAACAGATTGAAATAGAAAAAAAATATTTTAAATTGTAATAATATTTCACAATGTTACTGTTTTGCTGTATATTTGCAGCCTTGGTGAGCATAAGTGACTTCTTTCAAAAACGTTAAAAATCTTGCGACCCCAAATAGTATTATCATCCATGTTAGTCACATAACAAAACCATTTTTTGGTGGACAAAAAGTTTTTCAAATATTAACAAGCATTATCATAAAAAATATTAATACTACTTATTAATATGTTTTGTTAAAAATATATTTTCTATTAAAAAATGAATTAATAATAAATTATATTTTAAATTAAACATTTTCTTATCAAAGATGTATTCTCAAATCATTACATGTATGAATTGCATTTTTTATATATTTTTGAAATTGTCAAATCATACTGACATATGTGACAAAGCTAATAAAATTAGAAATGTATAGATATATACCATGTTTTTTGTTGTTGTTGTTTTTTTGCACATGTAAATTGGATTACCATGTCAATAACATTGCATGGGAATATGGTAATCATTCAGCACCACGGTATCACCACAGCACTTTTTTTGAAAGGCATCACCACTATTCTTACCGGTGGAATGGGAAGGGTCAGTGGTGGGGTCAGCCTTGTCTGAGATGACCCAGAAGTGCTTCCTGTTACAGAGCCGGAGCCGGAGCCAAGGCGAGGACGTGACACCGGACTGGAGCAATCAAAAGGGGATGGGGGAGTGGCTCTGGGTGATGATGATGCCAGAGATGAGGAAGGCGACGAAACGGAGGATCTTTTGGTGGTCAAGTCGACAGGTTCGGTCTGGGACTGATGGACATCCTGGGACTGAGGGTGTGTGTGAAGGGGGCTCATGTAGGAGTAATGTGCTTGGTGGTAGTGAGGAGAGTATAGGTGAGCTGTGGAAGTAGGGACCACGGAAGGTGACAATACAACTCCAAATGCCTCAGGTGTAGGTTTAATCAGGTAAGTCGGGTAAAATGACTGAGAGAAAAAGAGAGAGAGACGTTAAACATGCTGTGAATAGCATATTTTCACATTCACATGTACATAATTACACAAGCACTCATATAAAGCAGCTGCGCTGAGCAGCAGTTGAGCCTGGGGAGTATAAACCGACAAAAAATACTAACTTTGAATGACTGAGCATGAGCCAAATTCAACTTCCCACCCCATATAAACTCCTAACCTAATGAGAAAGGAATGCATGTCCATCTGCAGCCAGCGGAAGAGAGAAAAAAGAGCAAGTACGAGATGAGCTTTAGAGATACATTTTGTAAGATCCTAAGAATAAACTCATGCAATTCAAAAATATCCTTATTAGTCTCTATCAATGAGTCTCGTGTTATTACCAAGAATTCAAAGATGGATACTGCACTAGAACAAACACACCAATGGCCCAAGACCAGGGTGTTCAGATGGCCAAGTGCCAGGCAGCCCATTGTGTGTTAGTTGGTAAGGCAGGTTTGTTTTTGGAAACGGAAAGTGAAGCATTGTTTTCTTTAAAATCGCATAAACCGTATACAAAGAACTAGACAAGCATCAGGAAGGTGGAGAAACATTTCAGATTAGTCCAAAACCACTTCTACTGGCTAACAGACTTCAATCAGGTTAAATGCCATATCGAATTTAAAGCAAATGTGTTTACAATGGCACACACTGTATAAAGGTCCTAGATTGTGTTATTTTCACAAGTTTTTTCAGATGTTTCATCAGCTGAACAATCGGTTAAACAACAGTACAATCCTTGTTTTCATTCCTGTCAAAAATTAAATATGGCGCTACCCTGACTAAGGTCTATACACTAAACAAAAAAAATGTCACAAAAACTGTTAGTATTTTTCACAAATGATTACAAAGAACACCTTGAATTAAACTTTTTAAGCAGAAAGACTGAAAAAGTATGTTCTCATAAAACTTTGCAACTTCAAAAAAACTATTTTTACAGTGTAGAAGGGATCTCTACAAAACCTTTCAGAAATTATTTATACTATCATACCAACCATTTCTTAACAATTTATTTGAGAATATTTACGCTTTAAACCATACTCACCATGTCTGGCTTTATTGGGTCACACCTGAGCATGGCTGGAATTCTAGGAAAATACAAAGAACAAAGAGTAGAATATCAGATAGCAACCAAAAATCTGGCATTAGAGACATGTCATGAGCCATCAGGAAGTCATTCTTCATTCAAAGCACACAGAAGCAGAGAAGCATGAAACACTAATCACTTAAAGTACAGGGGAAGTCACAATGCCCAGGGCTATGAACGCTGTTTGTGTGTGGTTGTACATAAGATTGCAACACTATTAGGAGTTTTTCCACCTGACCCACATACCCAGTGGTCTTGGGAAACAGCGAGGCCACATTCTACTACTGCTACTAAATGCTACTATTTCATCCGTAGGTAATGATTCATTCCCTGATCTTAACACATCTTAGGGTGTTTTTTTTAACTTCAGGGGCTTTTTGTCCAGGATGTTTTTTTTTTTTTTTTAACTAACTGATAACTTTCCTACTTTATGTGTTAAATGGCAGTTACATTAAAACTGCTTCGGGAGTTTACAAATTTTTATTTTTTTTTTTTAAAGAAATCTCTTATGCTCACCAAGGCTGCATTTATTTGATTAAAATACCGTAAAAACAGTAATATTTTGAAATGTTTTGTCCATTATAATATATTTACAATTTTTATTAGATCATAAATGTCTTACTGTCACTTTTGATCAGTTTGAAGGGGTCATATGATGCGATTTCAATTTGTGGTTGCCGCAAGCCCGCCGGCTGCGCCGTTCTCAAGCCCACCGTCTGTCATTCACTCAGCCCGCTGGCCGTTCCTCATTCTAGCCGATGTTCTTTTTAGCAACATCATATGACCCCTTTAATGTGTCTTTGGCACTCTTTGCTGAATAAAAGTACTGAACATTTGAATGGAACTGTTTATAAAAAAATACAAATTAATAATATAAATACATTTATTGTAAATATGATATCCTGATCAAAGAGTTAAATGCAAGTTCATCAATTTTACAAATGAGTCAAAATAAAATAAATAATTTTACACAACTTTTACTGTCCCCCGGTAAAAAAATTCCACCATAATCCAAGGTTAATGTATTCAAAGCATGCTTTGAATATGAGACAATGACAAAGCAAAATCAATCTATGAAATTAATCTTACCAAGACAAAGAAGTCAACTATTTTATTCTAAATAAATTTAAATCTAATTTCCACCACAGAATGCTATTAAACACAATACATCATCTGAAATGTGATGGAAATGTTTATACCAGAAAAATGTGATGCCAGTATTGTTTGATATTGTAGGCAGACAGATTAAATAATCTAGTGAGAGTGTGAAAAGTGTATTATGAGTTTATTTAGTAACAGTCTACAGGGTCAAAAGAGTCCACGACAGAAGAATAACACAGCTAACAAGTCTACAATGCACAAAGGAAGCTAAAAGCTAAAGATGAAAGGTCTACAGCACTACCAGCTCATCAGATATCTTAGATATGGTCATGTTGTCTTGCGACCACAAAAGAGACAAATATGTTTTGCACTTTGATCTGTCTGTGTGTTTTGTGTGAGCGCACAAAGCCAGACACAAAGATGCAGGTGCTACAGTCTATAGGTACTACAGGTGCTATAGGTGCTGATCAATTTCTATTTCCAAAAATGAAAGTAAAAATTATCCAGGACTTGTTTTCATGGGAATTCAGGAACGGGATGTGGGACTTCAGTGAGCCATGAGACTGACTTCATGATATGTGAGTGCTTTTACAGTCCAAAGTCTGAGAGACAGAGCAAGAAAGAAAGAGAGGGGTGAATGTAAAGTCTCTTTTTACAATCATTAACCCAGGGTGGTGCTGTTAACACACACACACACACACACACACACACACAGAGAACAATCCATACTAGGTCTACTGAGTCCAGATCCACTCCCAGCAAACTGAACACTCCTCAGTCCTCAGACACGCATATATAAACAGGACTACTATCGCAAGAGACAATGCCGATCACACACACACACACACACAGGCTTGTGAAACATTCCCTTTGGCCCCAGGGTCAGGTGTGGGTTAACAGAACAACGTATTGAAGCGTACACACAAACACAGACATACTCATCCAAACCTGAAACCAATAGTATAGAATTCCATACAGATAAAGAGACACATCAAAACATAAGACAAGTCACAACATACTGTATGAGTTAAACACCACTCAAGACCTGTTTGAATACTTTACTAAGAGGAAGTTTTTGGAACTAGACTCTGTTTTCTTGTCTGTAGAGTTTTAAATGAATAATTCAGCCAATACTAAAAGTTCTACCACCATTTATCCACCATCACGTTAAGCCTGTATGACTTTCTTTCTTCAATTAAACACAAAATGAGTTTTGGAGAATGTGCAGGCTGTTCTTTTCCATACAATGAGAGTGAATACCGTGCTACCAAGCTGCAAATATAACAAAAAAAGCATCACAGATCCACATATGCAACTCTATATACTGTTGGACACCTCATTTATCACCCAGCGACCCTGCAGAGGACAAGCGTTTTGAAAAATGGATGGATGGATGGATCTTATTTTGTGTTCCATGGAGAAAGAAAATGAAAGTTACATGGGTTTGGAATGACATGAGAGTGAGTAAATAATGACAGATTTTTATTATTGGTTGAATTAACCTCACATTTAGAAAACTGCACCAGCTGAACCCTCTTTAATATTCTGATGAAAATAAGGGTTGTATGTAGGCCTCTATGTACACTACAGTTCATAAGTTTGGGGTTTGTAAGATTTGTACTTATCAAAGCACAGGTTTTCTTTTCAACTTGTCTGCAGAAGCATCAAGGTCTGTTAAGCTCCCTCTTGGGAAATCTTAGTCAAACAAACAGCCCTTTTCCAAATAAGAGACAGGCATTTTTTATATCGCTATCATAGCTGTTGCACTCGGACAGACCTCGCTAAGGAAAAATAAACGCTGTTTTGATACATACATACAAGTATACTTAAAAATATACTTGAACTTTACTTAAGTATACTTACTCAAATAAACTTGAAGTATACTACTTTTTGGTAAGGGTAGCTATAGATAGATAGATAGATAGATAGATAGAGGTGTTCAAAACTGTCCTCCGGGCTTGGCAGAGTTCACGTGAACCTGTTATATTAATCATGAAACCTTTCACTGCTAACAACAACAAGCACACACTCACATACACACACAAATAAACACACAAGACCGTCAATTAAATTTTACAGTCTCATAAAATAAAGAGAGGTTAGTACATGCTTCACCAGATGCGGTTAGTACAGAGAGATTGGAGTGCCAACTAGCGCAAGACTTCATAACACATGAAACACCAATAATTATCATTTTCTGTGAGCAATTAAATTAAGATGTTTAAATGCTTAATTTTACTATAATTATAGTCTTTGTGAGTTGATAGCACAATCTGTTTCTACCCTCGATCTCTCTACCTCTGTCATATCTGATCATCACTTCAACATTAAGATGTAATGGTAATGACGAGGGCCCTATAAATCAGCTGAAAACCAACATTTAGAAAAATCCAATGTTTTAAAAGATCTTGTGAATCACACATTAACAGCTTTATACTGTATGTTAACAAAGTTAAAGCTCTTAACCAATGGCTAAGTTTAATATTTCTAAGGTTTAGTGTCATTTTTTTTCTTGAATGCTGTGGTGTGTGTTTAACCTCGGGCGGTGTGAACGAGTAGAACGACTCTTTCTGTCAAATCTACCATGTGTGATACCTTATAAATTACACACGCTCTTCACTTAACATTGCAGACCGTTGAAGTAGGCAAATCCATTAAGGCACACACACACACACACACACACTCAAAACCACAGAATGCCAGTGTTACACTCTAATGCAGTTTCCTAGTGGAGAGAAATGGTCCGGCTTGCTGACATGAAGAAAATGCGAAGACCAAAATTACAAAGTACAGAATCTAATAGCAAACCCATGTAAAGCCCAAAACCAAACTAAATGGCTCTGGTTCAGTGCACACAACCCGTCAATAACCGCCGCTCTCGTTAGTACAGAGAGATTGGAGTGCCAACTAGCGCAAGACTTCATAACACATGAAACACCAATAATTATCATTTTCTGTGAGCAATTAAATTAAGATGTTTAAATGCTTAATTTTACTATAATTATAGTCTTTGTGAGTTGATAGCACAATCTGTTTCTACCCTCGATCTCTCTACCTCTGTCATATCTGATCATCACTTCAACATTAAGATGTAATGGTAATGACGAGGGCCCTATAAATCAGCTGAAAACCAACATTTAGAAAAATCCAATGTTTTAAAAGATCTTGTGAATCACACATTAACAGCTTTATACTGTATGTTAACAAGGTTAAAGCTCTTAAATAGTGTGGCTAAGTTTAATATTTACAAGTATCTTTAGGTTTTAGGGTCATTATTTATTATTTTTCTTGAATGCTGTGGTGTGTGTTTAACCTCGGGCGGTGTGAACGAGTAGAACGACTCTTTCTGTCAAATCTACCATGTGTGATACCTTATAAATTACACACGCTCTTCACTTAACATTGCAGACCGTTGAAGTAGGCAAATCCATTAAGGCACACACACACACACACACACACTCAAAACCACAGAATGCCAGTGTTACACTCTAATGCAGTTTCCTAGTGGAGAGAAATGGTCCGGCTTGCTGACATGAAGAAAATGCGAAGACCAAAATTACAAAGTACAGAATCTAATAGCAAACCCATGTAAAGCCCAAAACCAAACTAAATGGCTCTGGTTCAGTGCACACAACCCGTCAATAACCGCCGCTCTCAGATAACAGGTTTTCAGCCAGGTGCCAGGTATCTGAGAGATGCATGAGATCTGAGATTGAACGGGATGATCACAATGTGAAAAACTTTACAGATAGGCTTCTATCTGACTGAAATTTTGGCCGAAGACCAAATTTAGCAAGAGGGCCGCAATGTGTCTGTTATTGTTTCCATAGTGAGACTAACACATAGAGAGGCTCTGCTACATGGGGGCCATAGATTCCCTTCTGGCCTTTCCTCAAACTAAAGAAAAAGAGAAAGACAGACAGAGAGCAAGAGAGAGGCTGAGCATTTTAACAATGGTATGCGGCTTTGAAAATGATCCTCTTTTGTAGTGGATTGTTTGTGTGTGTATTGCGATAACATCAGAGTATTGATCCAAGGAAAGAGTCATGTAAGTGGGTGGAGGGTCTAGGCATGTGTATGTGTGTGTGTGTGTGTGTGTGTGTTCACTCCCCTCAGTTAGCCTCCCCTCAAATGCTGAAAACAGGAAAAGAGGCTCCATGTGCCAGATGGATTGTCTGACGCAAACCTCAGCCTTGAAACAAAGCTCAGAATACAACAGCCTTACTGACCCTGGGACTTTGACTATTAGTTTTATTGTATTTAATTTTCACACCAATAATGCTATGTCCACCATGCACATATGTACTGTACACATAATCTTCATACAGTCCAAAATGCAGGGGCAGGATGTTCAGATTTTGAATAGCTGAACATACACACATTCTAAATGCAGGCCAAGCTGATCACAAACCAACCCAATTACAGCAGAAGCCTACAGAATTGGGCTTGGAGCCACATTAAATAATATTTTAGACTTTAAAAAGTTAGAATTTTGTCTGTTATTCATTCAACAAAAACTATGTATGCACAAAATTTAATTTGAATAATTTTAATGAACAATCCAAGTGACCTTATATGATTAAAAGTTCAGTTGTTCATGCACACTAAGTACATAAAATATATGAATCAAGGTGTCATGACATTTCTAACTGTTTAAATGTAGATTAACTGAAGACCTGTCAAGTATTTTAATGCAATACTGTTTGTTAACATTTAAACTTCTTATAAAGAGTTGCAGGTCCCAACTCAGAAATGTGACAAAATAAATGTTTAGTTAAAAAATGCAACTGAGCCAAAAGCACACTCCAACATGATCCTGCACGCATGTTCCTATACAGTGCGTATAATTTGCCTGAAAATTATATTTGCATATAAGCTCTAGCACTGATCATATGGACTGAGAGACTGTAAATAATGTCAATTATTCATTCTGATAGAGTACAAGATTCAAGTTTATGTCCAGCTAAGAACACAGTATCAGTACAACAATAAAACAGTAAGTGCTAAAAGAGCAATATAAATACAACTCACAATAATCCGAACAAATAGTCTAGATGGCAATGACATGGTCGTCAATATTTCTGTTGTTCAAAAAAAAAAAAAAAAATGCAATTCATACAATGCTGGTAAATTACTTGAATTCACTTCTTTGATGAACATGCTTCTTAATTCAAGTAATTTTGATTTTGTGATATTGCTTAAGTACAAATATCTGGATGGTGTAACTGTCCAAGGACTATAATAATAATAAAAAAACAAGTTTTGTATAAAATAGACCACTTTAAATGCTCTTCATTGCATGTCAAGGCCATTAAATGTTTAAAAATATCACATTTTTCAAATGGAGTAACCCCAAAAAAACTTCTTAATACTGACTTTTGATAAAATGTTTGTACAATCACGTATAAAATATTTTGGTACTTTTTTTTTACAAAACTTTTAGACATTGTAGATCCATTAAATTCATGTTTGCATGAATTTATTTATTTTTTTTACAAAAATTGTTTACTTTTTTCGTATAAACATGAATACATAGATGATATTTCTGAAAACTTGGCACATATGTTAAACTAGATTCTTAAAAGATTTCTCGTTGTCATCATCTCAGACATCCTTATTTGACACTGACCCATACATCTGTCAAAACTACTTTAGAAGTAGTTACTGCAGAAGTTCAGTATATTGTGTAAAATAAAACATTCTAAAATGGACAAAAGAAATGTAAAAAAATTTTTTTTTTTTTACTTATATAGGCTACACGATTCATACGTGTGTATTTTGTTTTGTTTTATTGAATATTAAATATTAATTTATATAAATCAATTAAAGATGGACTAAATTGTTTATAACTACAGCAGGACGGTTTGATTGTGCCTGTTTGAAGTTAGACTATGGTATTTAATGAATATAGCAACTTACTTGTCAGTGAATATTTCTCAAGTTAAAAGTGCGCCGTTACGAAGGACCGCAGACGACAGCAACAACCCGGATCACAATGGCATGAAACACATCCAAATGACACACTTTAGGCTGACGCCGAAAAAACTTCACCGAAAGTTACGAAACAACTTCTTGTCCAAGTGTTTAAAGTGTCCTGAGTGAATTGAGCGTCTATCACATGATTAGGGCAGGCCGGGCGTGCGCTCGCGGGAGGTGAGGGTGGGGCGCGATCTTGGCTCCAGATACGCGCAACCGGAGACAGGAGGGGGCAGAAGAGAGGAGAAAGGGCTGTTTGTGTCTGTGTGTGTGTGTGTGTGTGTGTGTGTGTGTGTGTGCCTGCCTGCCTCTCCCTCTCCGCCCTTTCCTTCCTTCTCTGTTTGTCTCTCTCTATCTCTCCTTCTTTCCCTTCCTGACAAGACACGCCTCACAGTTTCAAAGATCTGACAAGTGTGGATAAATAAAGGTCGCCAGGTTCTCTAACAATGAATGAAGACAAATGACTTACATAATTTAGCTACACATTATACATTTTTATTTCATGTCGGTAAAAGCATGCTGAGGGCAAAAGGACCCACTGTAAATATTATATTTAAATAATTTCATGATTTATAGCTATATACTGGTCAAAATTTTGGAATAATTAAGTTTTTTTGTATGCATTTTAAAGGAGTCTCTTATGCTCACCAAGGCTGCATTTATTTGATCAAACACACAGTAAAACTGTAGTATTGTTAGATACTGTTTTCTATTTTAGTATATTTTAAAATGTAATTTTCAGCATCATTACTCCAGTCTTCAGTGTCACATGATCCTTCAGAAATCATTCTAATATGCTGACTTGGTGTTCAGATATTATCAGTTATTATTGGTGCTTAAATATTAATAATGGTCCTTATTATCAATGTCAAAAACAGTTTTTTCAATATTTTTCTGTAAACTGTAATACTCACACTGGGTTCCCGCTTGTTCTGTAAACATTTGTGAATATTGCTGCTATTATAGCGGGGACCCGACACATATCACTGAGAGCTGCTATCAGTATAGACTGGTTGCTGAAGTTATTGTATACTGAAGTTATGCCAAGTCTTCTGTAACAATAACATATCGCGTACCTGATGACGCCAGTGCACATTAACCCAACCTGTGTCTATTTACCCGGAATAATAAAGAAAACCATTCAGATTGATCAGACCTTCACTAGAACTACACTCGCCCCCAACACTCTCACTCTCTCACCCACCCACATCTCTCCATTTGCGCACACCCGCAAAACCAATACTGCACAACTGTGAATTTATTTGCTTTTTGGCAGTTAGGGGCGTGGAAGTGGAACTGATGAAACTCCACGCACACAAGTTTGTTTGTATGCATGTATTCATATTGTACAAACCCACTTTGCATGTGTGCGTGGATTGCAGAGGGTGTCAAATGATTATGACTGTTATATCTATAATTTTATGGCTATAATATTATAATATTATATACGGGATTAGTTTCCACTGTTATGCTGATGATACTCAACTATATATCTCAACAAGACCAGACAAAACTTCTAAATTATCTAAGCTAACAGAGTGTGTTAAAAATGTAAAAGATTGGATGACCAATAATTTTCTCCTATTAAATTCGGATAAGATAATAGTGTTCATCGTCTGTTTGATTACGTCTTTAATTGATTTTTCCGTACATTTCTGCCATATGTACATTGACTGACAGTCACCACTGATGAGCTACCACTAAATATTGTAGAAACTTAATTTGCTGTAAAGTTGCTTTGCAATGATTTGTATCGTGAAAAGCGCTGTACAAATAAACGTGAATTGAATTTAATTGAATAATATTGTATGTGTGTGTGTGTGGGTGGATGTGGTTGTATAGGCAGGAATTTCAGACAGCCTGTTTTTCAGTGATTAATTAGTGAAACAATAGCAGATGGTGTCATTTTGCTTGTAAATGCACAATAGAAAACGCCTTTGCCAAAACATTTTCAGGTAAGTCAAGTTGGGCAAAAATTAGTAATGAAAAAGATGCCAAATATCCGGAAACTTTCTGCTTTCATTTGGTTTACGCTGTCAAATAAAAACGTAATACTCTTGAAATGAGTTAGCAAACTTTACACCTTCTATGAGTCCAAAATAGAATGCAAAAATATTTTTAGAATGTTAGTTAAAGCATGATCTCATGAAAGCCATTATGTCATCATAGACTCATTCTCCCAGCCAATGAGAATTATCTCATGATGTCATGGAGGATGGAACATATGCACTTATCTTGTCTCATTCATTCAGGGCTTTGCAAACAATAAAACAGTGTGTCAAGAACCAATAACAATACAACAGAATTGACTCCAACACATACTTAGAAAGAATCCAAAAATATTCAATAATCACTATTTCTTTAATATATATATATATATATATATTTTTTTTTTTTTTATTTAGTTCAGATTACAAATAGACAGCATTTATAAATTTGTGTATTTTTTGTACAATTTGGACAAATTCCTAAACACACACACACACGTGTATCCACAAGCATGTGTAGCACACACATGAAACCAAACACCTACTTTATTTAACAGATTTCAAACAACACACTAACAATCAATATCAATAATGTAAAGTTCATAATGCACAGCCAATGAATGAGTTCATGGATTCTTAGGTAATTTATGAAGACCACAAGTAATTTTGAGCATATATAAAAGATGAATCACAAACAAAGACTAGCTCTATATTACAGAACAATGAGGAAAATATTTTCATCATCGGATCAAAGTGATTTTGAACACAATTTAAAACCGAGTCCCCTAAAGTTACATTTAATTCTAGCTGATTTGGACAATATTAGTGAGACACTGCAAGATTTAACTTTATGCTTAACATGACGTGTTGTATTCTACACATTCTACAAGTGTGGTGGCAAATACTATCACTTACTTTCACAGAGTGAGAAAGTTTGAAAAATTATATCTATGGTTATGAATTAAACTCACATAGATAAACGGACGGATGGACAGGCAGAGATAGATAGATAGCACTTCTAATTTGGTGGTCTGTACTTTATTGCTTTTGTTTTTTTTACTTCAAGGAATGTCATTTGTATAAGGCATCCACCCATCTACAGTGACTTGATAGTTGTTCCACAGCAACACATGGTTTATTAAAATGATGAATTGAGTTGGGTGGCAAAGTGATGCCCTCAGGAGTGAACGACATTGTCTAGAGTTTGTTTATAAAGCCTGCCAAGTAACTTCATCTCACCTCTGCATTTTTAGACCTTTATTAGTTTGTCAGGTGTGGAATTTATGGGAATCAATAACAATATGTGTCATAAAAATGGAATTAGATACAAAATGCTTTCAATTGTCCTCAATTGATTTAGAGGTATTCAGGTCAGAGTAAGGAATTGAGTCGGGTGTGACAAATGCTGTTTTATATAGAAGCTTGTTTCTGCCACAGGACAAAAAAGGTTGTAATTGCGACTTTTTATCTCACAATTCAGACTTTCTTGCAATTCTGAGGAAAAAATTCAGAATTGTGAGATATAAACTTGAGATATTAACTCACAAATGTGAATTTATACTATTTATATTCTGAGAAAAAAAGTCAGAATTGTGAGATATAAACGGACAACTGCTAAACTGTGAGATAAAAAACAAAACTGCAAGATGTAAACTTGGAATTGCAAGAAAAAAGTCAGAATTCTGAGTTTATATCTTGAAATTTTGTCTTTTTTTCTCTCGGAACTGTGTTTATATCTTGTCATTCTGACTTCATATCTCACAATTAAATTTTTCCCTCTCAGAATTTAAAGAAAAAATTCAGAATTGTGAGATAAAAAAGTTGCAATTTTTTCATAGTTGCAACTATGAAAACTAACGGCTTCCATAGTTTTGTGTAAATATGTTACAGGGTATTTGTTTATTTATTATATTTTTTGACCATTGTGGTTAACAGTAAAAAAAAAAAAAGCGGTTAAGCAAACACTATAGGTGCTTTACAACGTTTTCACTTGGTTTAACATGTTCTACAAGTATTCTATATATGTTCTGCTGAACTTCTCAACTTTGCGTTTGCAGGTTCTCTTGAGGATAGATCCAACTTCAGAGGCCAAAATACAGGTTAAAATGTTCACTCTGTCACATGCAGGCATGTACACAAGAGGTTAAACAGGCAGTCATGACAGGGAAAGCACTGGGAATGACAGCTGATATTTATTAGTTTCAAATACTTCACAAACACAGCTTTTATTTCATGTCTATTGCTACACGTGGCCAAGACTTCACCAAAACCCATCCCTCAAGCAATGCTTACCCTTTAAAAGGTTATTGAAAACTCCTATGATAAAGCCAGGACCACACCCAAAACCATTTCTGAAGAATAAGAACCTCCTGGGAAGAGAAGTGGGGGTCTGGATCAATCCATGTCTATTAGTGGTCGACCGATATTGGTTTTTTGACAGCCGATGCCGATGCCGATATCTTGGTAAGCAGGGTGGCCGATATAAAGCCAATATAATTGTATTTATTTTAATTAATATTTAAGACATTTGAAATCATTTGAAAATGCATTAAAAATAAATTTGTAAAATAAACATACTTATACTTTAGATGACAAAGTATTTTTCACAAATAAATAAATATTGAATAAAAATATAATTAAAAAGGAAGTAAACTGTAACCAACAGAGTACTCGTTATATAAAAGCAATCGTTATAATACTTTTTGTATACATTTGAATTCCTTTGTTTAACAGTGCTATCGGATTATTAGACAGAACTGTTAACGACGACGGCGAGCAAGAGGGAGAACGTCTCAGGTTACGTATGTAATCATGGTTCCCTGAGTAGGGAACGAGACACTGCTTCCTCTAGAGAGGACGCAGTGTCTCGTTCCCTACTCAGGGAACCATGGGTACATACGTAACCTGAGACGTTCCCTTTCAAGGGAACTTCGAACTGCGTCCTCTATGGGTTGCTATGGGGAACGGTATACCCACACCACCATGCTGAGGGGAGTGCATGCCAAACTACAGGCGAGCACTAAGTACCAACTCTACCAAAGCAGAGGGAGGCTCGACCTACAGCCTGTTCATTAGAAATCCTGAAGGGTAAGCGTACAGCAATCTTAGCCAAAAAAAAACAGCGCATCAGGGAGGCAGAGTAAGGGCCTAGATCGCCTGATGTTTGCTG